CAGGTGAGGGGTCCGGCCGCAGTGGAGGTGCCGGTACAGGTGAGCCGGGGCAGCCCCGGCCGAGGCGCCTCCGCCGCCGCCAGGGGGTACTCGGGGCGAGCGAACGCGGGGAACAAAAGGCGGCGGGTTCCCCGCGGCCGGAGAGGGGGAAACGCGGGGCCGGTTCCCGAGCCCTCCAGCCCGCACATTCCATCCCGAAACCCGAACCGGGGGCCGGGGGCGGGCTCGCCCGCGCTCCGCGAGCCGCGTCCCCCCCGGTGCGGGCGCGGCTCGGGGCCGGCGGGGCAGGGGCTGCGGGGCTCGGCCGGGGCTCCCCCGGGTCCCCCCCGGTGCTGTCCCGCCGCCGGGCCCCCTCGGGCCGGTGCCTCCGGCGCGGCCCCGAAGTTGCGGCGCCCCGGCCCCCGAAGTTGAGCGGGCGGTGACGTCAGGCCCGGCGGCCAATGGAGCGGCGGGCGGGGGGGGGCGCGGCGGCCGCTCCATCCCCGCACCGCCATCCCCGCACCGCGCACAGCCCCGCGCCGCTCCCGCACGGACACACCGCAGCCCGGGCACGCCGGAGCTCGGACACACGGACACACGGCCCAGCCGGGGGCGGCTCGCGGCGCCCCGAGGAGCCCCCGGCGGCTCAGCCCCCTCCGCGGGGTTACCTGCCCGGCCCAGGTGGGGCGGTGCGGAGCGGAGGAGGCTGTTTCGGAGGGTGCCGCCGCTTCTGATGGATGTTTTGTGTGTGTTTGCCTCCGCTCCCGGGTTCTCTTTCATGTGAGGACGCGTCTGGCTCGAGCTCTGTTAAACTATCTGCCTTCTGGTACCGGCCGTAGATAAGAGAAAGAAACCTGAGCCCGAAAGGCAATTCCCCACCTTCTTCCACCTAACGTGACCTTCTCGGGCGCCTTTGAAGGTTTGCTGGTGCTCCGGCGATGATGGCAGTGGTGGGTTCCCTTGGGCTGTACTAAGAGCCTCTTGTTTTCTTTTCCCTTTCTTAGAGGCATTTCATCTTTAAGGGCCGGCTGCTCGCGCACACTTTTATACCCACCGAAGCCATCAAGAAACCATGCTGCGTGGTGGAAGAAGTGCGTTTCTGTGCCTTGGAATGCTCTTGAGCGTTTGGAGCTCCGTGACTTGGATGCCTGTTGGAGGATGCCCGCATAAATGTACATGTATTGCTTCGAACGTGGATTGTCATGGACTGGGACTCAAAACTGTACCGAGGGATATTCCCAGGAACGCGGAGAGACTGTAAGTAAAACCGTTAAGGGCTCCTCGAGTACTCGTAGGAACACCTGGGACGAGTTTCCCAACACCTGCCTATCAGTGCAGAGTACTTAGGAACAGGAGTTTCAGTAATCCAAGACGGATTAATGTTTTCAGGAGGGAAGGGGAGGAGCTTTTCAGGAGTTACAGCGATCCTGCCGCTGTGCCTTTTCAAAAAACGATCGGTTTCAGAGTTTCACGTTTTTTAAGTTTCAGTTGCCGTCTGATTGGGTTTTGCAGTGACTTGCTTGTTATGGAGCTGGGAGCCGTACCTGGAGTGCTCCCTGCTGTAATCACTGTCAATGCAAACACCAATTTAATATGCAATTAGAAACCTGGATGTTTTCACCTGGTGGCAGTTTCTCCTTACTCTCTCAGTATGGCGATTTCATCACCATGGAAAAACCGCCTGCTGCCATAAACTAATTCAAATGGAGAAGAAGTCACATTAAGCAGCGTCTAATTTCTCTTTTAAGCTGCTGCGGGGAAGCTGCTTGTTTAATTTTTAATCTGCTTCAGGGTTTATGATAGTAATGTAACGCTGTGGGGAGCAAGGAGAATAGCGAATGTGTTCTCAGCAATTCCTCTCTGTCATAAGTTCTTATGAGTATTTCAGTCGACTCCTTTTACTTAATAAGTTTCTAAGGAGAAAGCTGAAAGCAAACTCGAGCTTTGTGATAGTGTTCTGGCACTCAGTTGGTGCAGAGGACGGCGTGTCTGACGTTCTTAATGCATAGCAGATGGCACATTTCAGAGAGTGCCCGCTGCTAGATATGAAGATGTCCAGAGTGGAATGTTAAACAGAGCCCCAGCCCGGCTCTGCGCTGCTCCACGCATGACCTCAGCAAAGTGCACTCGGTTGTGCCTTGTGTGGATTAGCTGATAACTTAAAATGTTTTTGAACTTGTAAGCAAACGCTGGAGATTGTATGGCCTGACTTCCTGTTTTATTTCCTTCTGGGTCATAGAGTTGGGGAAACTTCAAATTTTCAAGCAGTTTTTTTCCTCCGAGGAAGAGAGCTGGATGAGGTTACTAAGCAAACAAAGTTTCTGTGCAGAGAGCACTCCTAAAGGCTGAGTTCTACCCGGGAATGGAATTTTATAGTATCCTTGGCTGTTTCTAAATGCGTTTTATAGTGCTGAGAGCTCTTAAATGACAGCAATATGCAGCTTTCTCACTACACTATTCTACCATCTTTGATGTTTTGTGGCCATATCAGCCTTTCTTTTAACCCCAGCTGTGTGAGCAATCGTTTTCAGATGTCAGTGCTATAGAAACCTTAACTTCTGCCTGAAACTGTGAAGCTGTGTACTCTAAAATCGATGAGTAGCAACCTTGGCAGTTTAGGGCCAAAAAAATCCCCCCGTCCTGAAACAACAAACCTCACAACAAACCACTACCAGAGTAAGCACTGCCAAGGCAGGCAGAGTATGTGTGATAACACGGATGGCTTAAGAGTCAAAGGCTAGAACTAAACTTTTAAATTCCAGGTTAAAATGATTCGTGAGTGCAAGGTTAGTTGGCCACCGGAGAAGAACTTCAAAATGATAATTTGTTATTGCTCAAGTTTAGGGGGAATAAATGAACGTTGTTGCCAGGTTTCACGGGTGAGAATTTATGTAAGAAAGACCTGAACTTGCTTTGCCTCCTGCAGGAAGGTGAGCCAGGAGAGGAAAGCTCTTGGCCTTGGCATGTTAAGTGTTAAAGGAGAGTGTAATCACTGTGCTCTTGGTCTTGTTCTTTTTGGTGTTATTTACAGATTTAAATTTTAGATTAACGGCTGCATAAAGAACAATAGTAGCGATTTCACAATATTCATTTTGAATATTTAACCTTAGAAGATACCACCACTGATAAATATGAAATGGAGCTGTGTTGGATGGTTTGTTTGGTTTGGTTTTTTTTTTTTTAATAGTGTATTATTGGAACATTCAGAGGCTGAAACCTTGTGGAAATAGGATACAGAGGATTGCGTAGTAACACATTAATCCATATTTTTAAACACTGTCTTCAGTTTTCATCCTGTCAGTCCATCGTGAGCCTTTCCCTGGTTTTATAATGTTCACTGGCATCATCATTACAACTGTGTTTTAAAGCTTGTGTCAATTATTTCAAATCTAGTTATCTACTAATTGCACTAACTTGAATTTTCTAGAGCAAGCAGTAGAGAGAAAAAGACTGAATTCCTCTGAGTCTAATTCTGCTCGTGGGTGAAACATCAGTCAGCCACAGGACATATCAGAGGATCTCATTTTCCCTGTGGTCCACAGCAACCTGTAACTATTTATGACATAGCAGCGGGTTGATGTGTAGTCTTGTAACTAGTATGTTTAGCTTGTAAATAAGACCAAATTGATTATATCTGAAGTGATGAAAATATTTCTCATCTCAGAGAAGTGTTTATATGTTGGGAAAATCATTTTAACAAGTTTCTTGATGGCCACACACTGAGTGCCTTTTTCAACTGTTATGCTCTGGAAAGGTATTTAATTCTTTCTGCGTTCTCTTGAGCTAAAAATTCCACATACCTGTTCAAGTTGGAAACTTTTTGCTTTAATTAGTGAGAGATCTAATGGCACCACTTAAAATGTTTTGCCACTAGACTTTTAGAGTTATGTTTGGACAAATGTTACAGATTGTTTGGGCTAGTGGAGCCAAGTTAAATATTATTCAAATTTGTGTTAATATGAAACCCAGGAAAACTGAAAATATAACATAAAGGAAACAACGGGAAATATCTTTAGGGGGAAAAGAATTTCTTATTGAGAAGTTCTATTATGAACCAACTTTGATTACTGATTCTTCATGAGGAATGAGATGCACATTTTTTTCTGAAGGCTTTGAAGGTGCACTTTTTGTGAGGAGTTGTACCTGTGATCTCTGTCTTGAGGGAAATGCACAGATTAACCAATGATCACAGAAAGAGTTGTAAAACTATCCTATGCCTTTTGTTTTTTTTTTTACACAGATTCATCTTTAATAGTAGTTTTGCAAATATAGCAAGTATTGCTAGGTTTGGGTTGCAGTTTACCTTGTTATTACACTCTATGATAGTCTTCTAATTGTGTGGTAGAGATTGAAGCTTTGGCTCAGTTCACTTTCATGAAGAGCTAAAAAGAGGTGAACACCATGTACTGCTGCACAACCAAATTACTCAGTCTGGACAATGTAAGTGGTAAAGGAAATACTTGTCACTTCCAGGAGTAACTTCCAATTATCTTCGTTCTGGGGAAGGAACCCTTGGAATAGCCATTGTCTCACACAGGAAGAGAGACAGAAATTAGGTCTAAGACTTCTCCTCAAGTTGCAAAATGTGATGCTCCACAGAGGCCCTTGAGCAGGATGATGGAGCTGACCCTGTGGCTTGTCATTAGGAATGACTGGTCCATTCCACATTGTGAAACAACATCCTACCAAAAATAGAAGTTTGTAGACCTTTCGTGTTGAGGAGAAAACTAATGATTTAGTAGTGAACTTAATTCTTTCATTTAAGCTATGCAGCTGATAAGACCTTCTGTCTTATAAAGGCAGCACATTTAAGGATATGTAAATACATCCATGAAAATCCCAAATATTTCACCTTAATGAAAAGTTCATTAGAATTGCCTCATCAAACTCCCCTAATCAGAGTTTGCTTAGCTGTGCTTCAGTTCTTGCATGTGATTATTTATGTAATTTTTCTTTGGTGGAAACCTTTTCTATCTGTGTAAAATATTATACATGTGGCCTTTTGTGACACTTAATAATGCTGATAGTCCAGTTTAGTTTGAGATGATGGGTAAATGCAGCGACCAGATCAAAGCCACCTGTCTGACAGTTGTATTTTTGAGCTCTGAAAGGGACAAGTGATATGGAGAAAACTGCTCAGGAGCCTTCTGGGTCAGTGTCTGCTTTCTGTTGGAATGGAAAGCCTGAGCCTTTGTGTTTTCCCTTCCATTCGTGTCTGGTTATCTCCTTGTCTGTTAGCAGCACATTATATATGTATAAAAGTTTCTTTGGAGAATTTAACCATGTTTGAGTTCTTGATGAGTTTGTGTTCAGTGGCTTAGAATCTTGTTTAATTGATAGCTCTCCCGTGTTAGTCATTGCTTTGTTTTGCCTTTCATTTGAGGGATTCTTTACCTTGCTAAAGTGATAAAGCTTGCGAGACTAATCTGTTCTTTGCTTTGTCTGAGCGGCTAAATTGAGTGTGTCTACATATAGGTGCAATTTAGAAGCTTAGTCATCTGCTTACTCCTGAGTTTTCATGTGGTCTGGGGTTTCTGTTACACAAATATATTATTATGGTGGTTTTGGCCTAGGTGCATTGAGCTGCTGAAGTTGCACTGGCTTGTAATAAGTCTTCGACTTCCTCAAGTTTGTCTCCAAATTAAATGCAAACTCCTGTCTTGAATGTTTCCATATTGCTGCAGAACACGCTGTTAAACACATGCAAATATAATTATAGTGACTCTTACACTGACATTCTGTTTTTCTAGAGCTCTTCCCACTAGGGATTACCACTCATTTGTTTGTGCAGTAATATCTCCAAAACCTTGCATGGAGCATTTCTCAGTTTTTTCCCTATGTCATGTGTCAGTAAGTAGATGTACATGGCTTTGGCTTGGAAAAGCTTGTTCTCAGCGGGACTGATCCTGGGAAAACTTGGCTGAGTTGCTTAATGTAATGGGGATACTTCCCTTTATTGATACAGTGCTGTGTGTGCTTGGCTGCCCATTGCCCTGTACTTGTGTAGGATCAGTCTTGCACTATTAAATCTCTTCTCTCATTTTGAAGTGATGGAAACAGGAAGGAGTATGGAATCAGCTGCTGTAAATTGGTAGCTACAGAAGCAGAGAGGTGGCCATTGTCACGTCGTCTGTATTTATTTGCAGAAATTTGGATTAGATTCTTAGATGAAAGACCAGACTACTTCCTGCAGAATTTTTTAATGAGTTGCTCTGAAACTATTTTGGTTTTTTTCCATGTTCTTTAGCAGAGGAGTG